GCATGCGTGTAAGAAAAAATACGCGGCTAGAGCTTAAAGGTGGAAACGCGAAAACGGCGTTTCAAAATCTTCTCACTCTGAAGGCTTAATAAAAAAAAGATTGTTTACAGACCCCCGAAACGCCGGCTTCGTATGGATGACTTAGGGACAAGTGCTGCGAATTAGCTGTTGCTATTGCACCATGATGCAAACATGGGACTGCTGTTTCATTCAGTTTGTCTATGTAAATGTGTGTCTGTCCCTATCAAATAAACTTTAATAATAATAACAACAGCAGGAACAGCTGAGCAGCTGAGCTGAGAGAACAAGTAGGTCATTAGGATGTAATGAAAGTAGACTTAGACTTAGACAACTTGCTTGTCATTTTGTGTAGTCCCTTCTCTTCATCTCATTGACATTGTGTGCATGCTTTGACACACATGCATCTCAGAAGATCGAAGATGATCGTCAACAGATTTAGTAATGGATTAATCATTTACTGGAGTAAGGAGAGGGTAAAACATTGCTTTAGCTGACAGAGCAACCCACTTAGAGCAGAAACTTTTTTTTTTCAGTTTTATTTTTATTGTCATTACTCTGTCACAAGTATAGAGCAACAAAATGAACTCTCTACATTTAACCCATATCATTGGGGGAGCAGTGGGCTGCCATTGTGTGGCGCCCAGGGAGCAGTGTGGGGATTACGCGTCTTGCTCAGAGAGCCAGAGTGGCAGTCCGTGGGAGTGGGGCTTGAACTCAGAACTTCTCAGCTCTATGCAGTAACCACTACGCTATCAATCCCCTACATTGTTAAAAAAAAAAAAAAAAAAAAGACATAAGTATTTTAAATTTAAGATTAAAAACACTTTTTCATCTGTCAGTATGCTCTATCCATATTTTCTAATTTGTTTATTTACCCACACATATGGAATAAAAAACTACCCATACATATCTGCCAAAATTGAAATTGAAATGCATAAATTTGACCTAAACTTAGTGTCATTTCTTTCTTAGATATATTTATGAATGAAAAGCATCCTACAACCCAAAACTGACAAAATTGAGACACAAGTATATACAAGTTAAAAACGCTAATACAGTAATTAGAAGAAATAAATTCCCTGAAGACTGATAATTTCATTATATAATTGCTTGCTTTTAATTTCACATTAATTAATCTTAGAAATAACAGTTTCTAAGATTAAGAATTGCTGCAGTACCAACGAAAGCTTAAAAAAAAAACTCTCTGCAGGTAAAAAGCAAACAGCAGGTGGTGCTGTTGTCCGATTTAAAAGCAGGACAAAATCTAGCAAGGCTATTCTTGCCCCTTCGGTTTTGTCTTAAGACGACTTTAGAGCGTCCCACAATAGTTGAAAACCTCTGCATTAGGTAATATGGAACTTCATTTTTCTTTTCAT